TAGCGTATTGCCGGCCTATGCCATTTTTAAACATCCGCTAGTGCGCACTCCGTGCCGCATGTAGCCGCGGGCATGGAATCCGCACTAGCGGACATTTAAAAATGGCACTGGCCGGCAATATGCTAATGAAGCCCGGGAAATTCATATCCCGGGCTTCATTTGCAACTCCAGTTGCCTACATTACCACCCTAGTTCGAACTAGGGTGGTAGTGTAGACATACCCTTTGGGACCTGTTTGTATTGCACTGTGAAAAGTTTCATTCCAGGACGTGACCATGAGGCATTTACTGGTGTCTGATTTTATAACTCTGAGGTCGGAGGGATGCTTCTATAGGAGAACTGAACCAGAAGACCCAAATATAGAAAGAAGAAAAGGCTCTGAAGAGCTGTATATTACAGCACTCACAGGGGAGAAGATAACTAGCTCAGCTCTAGATGGAGTTTGAGCACAGTTCTTGCTCCTGTATAGATACAGTAAATCCGGAGTGACTGACATAATTCATTTGGGCCGTGTCCACACTCAGGGGTTTTTTCGGGAAAAGTAGCCTTTTCCCGAAAAAACTTCCCCTGCGTCCAGACTCAAGCCGCATTCTTTCTAGGGTGGTAGTGTAGACATACCCTTTGGGACCTGTTTGTATTGCACTGTGAAAAGTTTCATTCCAGGATGTGACCATGAGGCATTCACTGGTGTCTGATTTTATAGCTCTGAGTTGGGAGGGATGCTTCTGTAGGAGAACTGAACCAGAAGACCCAACTATAGAAAGGAGAAAAGGCTCTGAAGACCTGTATATTACAGCACTCACAGGGGAGAAGATAACCAGCTCAGCTCTAGTTGGAGTTGGAGCACAGTTCTTGCTCCTGTACAGATACAGTACATCCAGAGTGACTGACATAATTCATCTAGTGACATTCTTCAGCTTTGAAGCCTCATGACCAACCTCCTTTCCAGATCAGGAGTATATTAAACACCAGCCTAGCACTGAACCTTGTGCCAGCTTCCTGCTAAGTTATTGTTACAATGAAACTGACCACTAAGTCCTACTACTTCTTTCCTGTCTCCTGCAAGTCTCAATTCCCAGCTTGTAGTTTCTGAATACCAGCGGCTTGTCTACACAGGGAAATTGACCAGATGGTTTTTCCCAAATAACTCTCTATATGCTCTATTCCAATTAAAATCACTTTATTCCAGAATAAGCAGTGCACTTTCAAAGTATAGTAATTATTTCTGAAAAAAATCACTTTTAAAATCACTGTCCTGGTCAATGTATCTATATATACGAGTCCTTATTTTCCTTAATAACTTCTTGTGAGGGACTTTATCAAAAGCTCTTTGAAAGTCAGGAGACTGGTGCAGTCGTGTGAGAATAAGTGTATCTGTATTATGAGCATTTGGAATTACACTGGCATATTGTGACTCCAAAATCTAATGTTTGCTTCCTTTTTTGTTTACACATGGGTGCTATAGTGCCCCATTAATTTGATCAACTCTGCCACCTGTTATGTCCGGGTTTCTGACTCCATTCCAGTTCACCGGCTTGTTGCTTTGATACTTCTCGCATTTGTGGACAGACTTTTACAAGTTTCACTTTTAACCATTGGCCTGTTTTTATTTAAATCTTTTGATGCCCGTTTGTATCATTTACATTTTTGATCTTATCCTGCACAGCCTCCCTAGTAGCATCCCTGTATGTCCTGTCTTTTATTGGATCTTGCACCCCTGATATTACTAACATCCCCAATGGACAGATGTCTCACCTTAGAGAAGGCTCCTCCACACTCATTAGCATTCCCCCAGCTCCTACCGTAAATAATCTTCCCAACTCCTACTTACTGCATATGCCAAAAGTCTGCTCCCACTCTAGTTAAGGCAGAGTCCAGCCTTTCTGTGCAATCTCTCTTCCACCAGATAGCCCCACCCTCACTTTGTCACTTCTAGCCAACGCCCCCTGCAGTTCTCTGTGCCGTCACTGGCATGTCACATTGGCACATCCAGAATTCCCATTCACAAGTGATATTTCCCCTTGGCCCCTCCCTGCAAAGTACCATGTAAAGGCAGAGTTGGGAATGGACTCCCAGAGAGACAGTGAGTCACTTACCTTGGGTCTCAGGTTGACGTGAGCGGTCTGCTGTTCTCACCTTTGGGCGAAGGTGTAATGACGTATAACCCTCTTCATCCTCCATTAGCCAAGCTTTTCCCGGCTGTGAATCCTTTTCAGCAGGTACTCAGAGGAGGGAACAGAACAGCTAGTGACTGACCGCCAGGCTCTGCAGCTCAGGGCTCACCTCCCAAAGCAGCACAGACCCTCCCCATGAGAAACCACAGGAAGTGCAGGCTCTGAAGTGACACCCAACTCTTCCGCCTTCCCCACACACGTCTGAGCCCATCACTAGACCCTACTAGCTTCTCTGCTGACAGTGCTTAAACTGGGTTAGAAAATAAAATAAATAGTACAAGCTAATGCTTGCTGAGAAGAGAGGAGAAGAGTTATGGGGACGAGGGTAAATGGGGTTGGGTGGTAGAGAAAAAAAAGAGAACGGGGGGGAGGCATGGGACACAGGTAAGGGAGAAGAGGTGGGGTGTAGAGGAGAGGGAAAATGGGAGGGAGGGACGAGGGTGAATGGCAGGGGGTTGGGGGAGAATAAGGCTGGAGCATCTATCACCTCCATGTTTTCCCCTCTCACGGGTTTGCCAGGATCTGGAGGGAGCTGTCCCCTCAGAGGAGAGAAGTTCCCTCTCCCTACCCACTGTGTGCACCAAGGTTGGAGGGTTTCTCCCTCCTTTTCTGTGAGCCAGCGACCAGGGGGCCTTTCCCCTCTGGGGTGCCTGAGCTGCTCTTCATAACCTCCTATGTTTGACTGGGTCCTGGGGCGCCTCTGCTACTCCAACAGGGATCTGACCCTCCCATGGGAACTAGGTTCTGGGGCCCTGTCTGTCTGGTGGTGTCTTTGCCTTTCTCCCCACCCTTCTTGGATCTGGGGAAACCTCTTTTGTCTGCAGGGTCTGAGCTTTTCCTCCTATTCCCATATGGGTCAGGGTCTGTCCCTACAGGGGAGGCTGAGGAAAGACTCGGTGGCTGATGGGTTTGTTGGGCTGTGAAATTGTCTCTCATAGGCGGGAGAGCTGAGGCCCTGTGGCTGGGCACACTTAGGATCAGGCAGGTCAGAGCCCTGGTGGAAGGGCTGTAGGGAATGAGCCGGACCTGGGTTTCCATAGGGAGATGGTTAGTCATGGCACTGAGGGATTTTCCTACATTTGGTTTCTGTAGCAGCAAAGAGCTTTTGTTCCATCTGGCATCATCTGCCCTCAGGTTTACTCATGGGCATCAGAGAGGCCCATGGACACAGGTCAGGCTGGCAGGCCTGTCTAGCACTGCGGGCGCTGGAGATGAAGAGAGAGGAAAGGGAGGAGTGTTAGAGGCAAAACAGCCTGCAGTACTGCCCATGACTGAGTGGGTTGGGTTACCTCACCACCCCAGCTGTATCCAATCTAATCGGTGGGACCATCTCCCCTGGCATCACTCAACCTACACACACTGCTCAGTGCCTGGCTCCTAAGGCTGAGGGAGTCTCAGGGGAGGTGTCAGGGTTAAATCTCTCTAAGCCTGGGGGGAAAGGACCCCAGGGCTCTGCCATCAGAGCGGAGGTTGCAGCAGAAGGAAGGGGGCAGACTCCAGCCGGGGGCATTGAGGCTCAAGAGTATAAAGCAGGCAGCAGGGAGCGAGGAACTGCTGAGATCTCCCTGGCACTAACAGGGAGAGGGTCTGGCTGCTGGAGAGGGGAGGATCATAGAGCTTGTTCTTTCCTTTACTATAGCTATTAATAACAGAGAGAACTGATGTGGAAGGAGGAGCTAGAAAAACGGGGTTCAGTGGGGGGACAGACTGGCAGTCAGGTATGGGGGTCTGCAAGAGTGGGGTTCTGTGTGTGGGACACAGATTGGCAGTTAATCAGAGATATGGGGAGGGGCTGTAAAAGGGGAGTCTGGAGATGGACTGGCAGTTAGTGGGGAACGTGGGGGAGGGGCTGGCAGAGGGGGGCTCTGTCCATGGGGCACAAACGGGCAGTGGGGGAGGGGTTGGCAGAGGGGAGCTCTGTCCATGGGGCACAAACGGGCAGTGGGGGAGGGGTTGGCAGAGGGGAGCTCTGTCCATGGGGCACAAACGGGCAGTGGGGGAGGGGTTGGCAGAGGGGAGCTCTGTCCATGGGGCACAAACGGGCAGTGGGGGAGGGGTTGGCAGAGGGGAGCTCTGTCCATGGGGCACAAACGGGCAGTGGGGGAGGGGTTGGCAGAGGGGAGCTCTGTCCATGGGGCACAAACGGGCAGTGGGGGAGGGGTTGGCAGAGGGGAGCTCTGTCCATGGGGCACAAACGGGCAGTGGGGGAGGGGTTGGCAGAGGGGAGCTCTGTCCATGGGGCACAAACGGGCAGTGGGGGAGGGGTTGGCAGAGGGGAGCTCTGTCCATGGGGCACAAACGGGCAGTGGGGGAGGGGTTGGCAGAGGGGAGCTCTGTCCATGGGGCACAAACGGGCAGTGGGGGAGGGGTTGGCAGAGGGGAGCTCTGTCCATGGGGCACAAACGGGCAGTGGGGGAGGGGTTGGCAGAGGGGAGCTCTGTCCATGGGGCACAAACGGGCAGTGGGGGAGGGGTTGGCAGAGGGGAGCTCTGTCCATGGGGCACAAACGGGCAGTGGGGGAGGGGTTGGCAGAGGGGAGCTCTGTCCATGGGGCACAAACGGGCAGTAGTGAAGGGCGGGTGTAATGGCCGTCAGGAATATAGAGATGGAAGGTTCTAGAAAAACTACATTTTCTTGGGGGCAGAGCCTGGCAGTTAATTAGGGATAGTGCAGGTGGGGGGAGGTTCTGCAGGGGCCAGTGCAGTTACAGGAAATGGTGGTGGGATGGGCGTGGGTTAGAAAATGGAAGAGCCAAATAGTGAGTCAAGTATGTCACAAGGGGTGGGGGAAAGCTCCAGGCTCTTAGTTTTGGGGAGTCAGTCAGGGGTGCGTGTAGAGATGGAAGGTTCTGGAAGAGCAAGAGTCAGCATAAGAATGGGAAAGAGAAGGAGGCGCATGCAGGGCAGGACTGGCCGGCTCTGCAGAGTCAGGAGAGTTACTAAGGAGGTAGAAGTGTGAACGGAAATAGGACTCTGACAATGCACAGACAATAGGCAGACAGATGGTTAGCAGAACTGGTTGAAACTTGTTAATTTGAGGTTTTGATGAGACTTTTTGTTGAAAAACGTTCGGTATACCTCAGTTTTGCATTTTTGGTTACAAGCCAGACTATTTTGCCGATTTGGTTGCCAGAAATTGAAAATTCTTTCATTTTCAACAAAAACCCTGAAAATTTGCTTTTGTATAAGTTTTATACACCTGTTAGAAAAGAGTGTAGCTCATGCGGAAGAAGCCCTTTCTTCCGACGTCGTACTGTAAATCTTCTTGAGCGAGCGTGGGTGGGTAGTATGGACGCGTTGCAGGTTCTTGCACAATAACCCACCAGTGTAGACATACACATGGGCTGTGTCTAGACTGGCAAGTTTTTCCGCAAAATCAGATGATTTTGCGGAAAAACTTGCCAGCTGTCTACACTGGCCGCTTGAATTTCCAGAAAAGAACTGACGATCTCATGTAAAATCATCAGTGCTTTTCCGGAAAATCTATGCTGCTCCCGTTCGGGCAAAAGTCTTTTTACGAAAAGACTTTTATGCAAAAGGGCCAGTGTAGACAGCATAGTACTGTTTTCCGCAAAAAAACCCCGATCGTGAAAATGGCAATCGGGGCTTTTTTGCGGAAAACCGCGTCTAGATTGGCCACGGACGCTTTTCCACAAAAGGTGCTTTTGCGGAAAAGCATCCTGCCAATCTAGACGTGCTTTTTCTGAAAATGCTTTTAACAGAAAACTTTTCCGTTAAAAGCATTTCTGGAAAATCATGCCAGTGTAGATGTAGCCATGGAGTGTTTACATCACATCTTCCTAGATGACCATGGTGGCTCTACACAGAAAACATTCTCCTGCTTGGAGCACTGCAGAGCTCCTGGATCAGTATACAGGGAGAGGAGGCTGTGTCGTTCCAATTGCACACAAGCCATAGGAATTTTGATTCCTATGGGCAGATTTTATGCAGTTTCTTGGAAAAGCGCTATGGATGGGACATCCTGCAGTGCCGAGCTAAGGTGAAACAACCATTACTGGTTTTCATCTTCAAAGTGTTGCCTCAAAGCTTTTCTGATTCCTAGTACCCCAGGCCTAATAGCCTGTGGATCTGACTGTTCAAAATCAGTAGCCAGGCTGTCATTGCCTTCATAAATTCAATATTAACTCGACTGCCATTCGTGATGTGCTCAGTGCAGCTAGCAGAGCAGTGGAGAGCACTGAAGGATCCACTCCTGTGGTTAAAGATGATGGGTATGCAGAAAACAAAGAATGTTGAAAAATGCTGCGAACTGAAGAAGGAAACCCATGAAATGCTGGGATAGAAAGCAATGCATCAGGGGACAGTGAATATGGACTCATGAACTGGATTGCTGCCTCCAGGGCATTGCTGCCAGTACTGATTGACCACCCATGTGTGTAGACGCCAGGGCTGACAGGGAGACAGTATGAACGCACAACAATGATTTTCTTTGAACACTTTTTGACTGTCAAAATTTGTTGAAAAAATTCTGTCAGCCCTGAGACCATTCTCTCATCCCATAACTTCCATGTGAGTGGGTTTTACAATCCATTTACTTAAACTTAGCTCTGCAAAACATTCTGTGGTTTACTTTTCAACAAAAGGACATGCAAGGTGCAAGCAATAAAACTTACACTTCAAAGTGCAGTGGCGGGTCACTCTCAGCAGCCGAGCTATCTTTTTACAAAGCATCTTCACACCGGTCAGTTTAATGGAATAGACTTGTTTATTAACTACTCCCAAAAGCAGTTGTTAACCACTAATGTTGAACATTTCTTTGCTGCCTGACTCTGCTAGCAACACTTGCAAGCTGTTCAGCACAGCCTCTCATAATGTTTCATAGAATCACAGAGCGGAAGAGACCTCAGGAGGTCATGGAGCTTAGTTTTGTTTAGAATTGCCCAGGTTCTTCCTGCGAGAAACCCTTGTGGTGGTGTTCGATTTGGTTTTCAAACTGTAGGCATGCCTTTCTGAGGTGTTAGACAGGCCTGAAGGCCTGACTGGTTAACAATGCAGAGTCTTTTACTTTACTTCATGCTGCTTCCATTGGGTGGGAAGAATGAGACGGAATTAGGAAAAAATACAGTACCTATATG